AGACACACCAAGAAATAACATTTATTTAAATATCTGGTTACCCCATGGTCCTGTCAAGTTGACACATAAAATAGGCCATCACAAGTCCACTCATTGTGAACTTGGCTCTCATATACATCTCGTTAAACTACACTTAATCTCCAAATAAAGACAATAACAAGGTCATGATTCTACCTAACATGATACAACTATCCTACGTACAACTGGAAATGCACTAACTCCTTCCCCAGAAGAGGAAGTAAAGTCTTCAAGTGATGTTTACTCTTCTCTTTGGTATCCAAAAACTTAAATCCTACGATATTAAATCAATACATCTTATGTTACATGATCAGGGAATAAGAGAGGAAATAAAACAAAGATAGATATATATATGTGTTTATCTACACACGCATACAAATGCATTCTAAACAAAACAAAGAGGAAAGGTTGAGTAATGTCAGTATACTGACAAAATAGAAAGTTCAAGCTTTCATTTCCCCCACAGAAACACATATTTAAAAGTGATATAAGAAACCAAATAACTTTATGAGTGGTCCAGATTTCAGTTAAGAAGTTGTAGTACCCAGGACAAGAACAAAATCAAGATCGACCTCAGTCAAATGAGTAAAAAAAGGAATTTCACTTTACCTGTGTCATCCCCACCCCCAAGCCAGCACAGTTCAGTACCTAGAAAAATTATAACTCTTCTCTGGGGGCTGGAGGAGAGTAGGGTGAATGTCTAATGTACCCTCAGTACTCTCAGTGCAGTCCCCAAGGTGCTGACTTTTGTCTCACTTCATGTGCAGCATTGAAAGAACTGGCATAGCTTGGAGAACTGAGGCAGCTAGGGGAACAGATACATTATAGAATCTGACATAGCTCCATGAGGCTCAGAGAAGGTACATAATTGAGGCCTCTCCTCCAGAAAGGAGGGAGGGTTAGAGTGTGACTCCAATGTCCCAGCCCTTCAGCACACTCACTGAGGGGCTGGTCTCTGTCCCACTTGCATACTGAAAAAACTTGCATACTCAAGACACATGGGGAAGCTGTGGCTGGCATAGCTTTGCAAGGCTTGAAGAAGGTCCACAATCAAGGCCTCTCCTTTAGGAGAAAGGGATGAATGGAGTATGGCTAAAAAGACCCTGGACATTCAGCATGCTCTGTGAGGAGCTGAGTTCACACAGAATGCTGAAGAAACTGGCAGAGTCCTGATGCCTGGAAAAGCTATGTCCTGCATGGCACTATGAGATTTGGAAAAAGTGCATAACTCAGGCTTCTCCCCCAGGAGAGAGGAAGTAGGGTGGAATGTGCCCAAACATTCCTAGCATGCTGTCCAAAGGACCAATTTCTATCTCACTTCACATGGAGTGATGACAGACCTGACATAGTCAGAAAACCAGAGGGAATAATAGATTAAGTGCTCCTAAAACAAAATTTTTAAAGACTTGATACCTGGGCCAGGTAGGAATAAAGGCCCAGAATCTCTAGCAGGGCTGACAAAGCCATTCCCAGTCAAAACCATTCAGTAAAGATTTAAAGACGGGATTATTTCTCCAAGTGTGCAGACACAAATATAAAGCTACAAGGATCATGGAGAATCAGAAAAACATGACACAATAAAATGAAAAAATTAAATCTTCAGTCACTGATCCTAAAGAAATGGAGATCTATGAATCGCCTGACAGAGAATTCAAAAGAATCAACTTAAAGCCGTGTGAGTTAAAAGAGAACACAGATAGACAACTACACAAAATCAATGAAATGATACATGAACAAAATAAGACTATTAATGAAGAGATAGAAGTGATAGAGAAGAGCAAAACAGAAATTCTAGAGCTGAAGAATACAATAAATGAACTAAAAATTTACTAGAGAGTTTCAGCAGTGGACTTTATGAAGCAGAAGACAGAATCAGTAAACTTGAAGATAGGTTACTTTAAATTATTCAATTAGAAGAGCAAAATGATAAAAGAATGAAAATAAGTGAAGAAAGCACATGGGAATTATGGTATACCATATTGATACAAAGCAAATCAATATATACATTATGAGAGTTCCAGAAGGACAAACAACAAAGAGGCAGAAAGCTTATTTAAAGAAATAATGGCTAAAAACTTCTCAAATCTTAGAGAAAAATGGAAATCAAGATTCATAAAGCTCCCAAGGCTAGAAACAAGATGACTCTAAGAAAGTTACATTGAAATATAGTATAACCAAATTGTCAAAAGTCAAGTATAAAAAGACGATTGTGAAAGCAGCAAGAGAAAAGCAACCTGTCACATTTAAAGGAGAGCCCCGCCCACCCACAAAGGTTATCAGTGGATTTATCAGCAGAAACCTAACAGATCAGAAGATAGTGGGATGATTTATTCAAAGTGCTGAAACAAAGAAAAAAAAAACCTACCAACCAAGATTATGTTACCCAGGAAAACTGTGCTTCAGAAATTAAGAAGTAAAGACTTCCCCAGACAAACAAAAACTGAGGGATTTTTATCACCACTAGACCTGCCTCACAGGAAATGCTACAGGGAGTTCTTTAGGTTGAAATGAAAGAAAACTAAAAAGCAACACAAAAGCACATGAAAGTATAAAACTCACTGACAACTGTTAATATATAGAAACATACAGATTAGTGTATTAACATAATGATAGTGTGTAAATTACTTTGGGCTTTAGTATAAAAGTTAAAATACAAAAGAATTGAACAAACAATGGGTCAAAGAAGAAATCCAAAGGTAAATCAAAAAATACTTGAGACAAATAAAAATGGAAATACAACATATAAACACTTATAGGATGCAGCAAAAACAGTTCTGAGGGGGAAGTTCATAGCAAAAAATGCCTACATCAAGAAACAAGAAAAGTATCAAACAACTTAAATTTATATCTCAAGGAACTACAAAAAGAAAAACAAACAAAGCACAAATTTAGTAAGAGGAAGAAGACAACAAAGATCAGAGCAGAAATAAATGAAATAGAGACTAAAAGACAATGCAGGGCCGGCCCCGTGGCTTGGTGGTTAAGTGAGCGCGCTCCACTGCTGGTGACCCGGGTTCGGATCCCGGGCTCGCACCGACGCGCTGCTTCTC